AGTGTATCGGTTGACGTAGGTGTTACTTAGTGCTTTTTCCTGATGTGATCAATTACAGTCTTTAACTTTACTGGTTAATTATTGCCTTTGAAAATTTAACTTTAGATTTTTAAGAAGCAGTTTCCCAGTATCATTATTATTGAGACTGTCTAGTTTAGGCTCGCCGTCGGGTTATCTACAAGCCCACAATTACAATATTTACAAACTCTAAACGAGTATCCAATATCTTCGCGTCTCTGCGGTTTAATATTATAGTCTTCTCCAGCCACTCCTCTGGTCCAGTTTGGTTCTCTATTGGTGTACTTCGAAACCTCACCCAATTTACTGGTCAATAGTAAACTTATAAAAATGGGAGATTTTGTATGGGGCTATCGATACTATGCCTTAAAAATGAACACTGCCACTGCTGAACGTTCGAAGTCTAATACCTGAAGCCCAATATTTCAGACTTGTTGATTGAGGATAGAATGCTTGAAGCCTATGTTTATTCTTTTCTTGTAAATTTCTGAGATCGCGCAAACCCGTCTTGAATGAGTCAATTGATTTCCCTGGCTACGATTCTTCTGGCAGTTGGTCCCATGAGTTTATGGTTCTGTGTGGAAATGACTACTGCACTGCAACATAATTTCTCCTTGGGTTTTGTACTCTCCTGCTATGTCCTGTAAGGTGTTCCGACAAAATATTCAACAAGTAAGTAGAGAAATCTATATAGTAAGAGTTAGTTAAATACTTAGAGTAGCCATATAAGTAATGTAAACAGACAACTAGCTGAAAAGTATGAAGGACGAAATACTGAAAGAAATTGAAATCTTGGACCTTTATTTTGAAAGAGAAATCTAATCTTCAACATTGTCTTGAGAGTCCGGTTGATTTTCTTGCTTGAGCACACAGGTATCATTATACTTCTTAGTGTAATTTAGTAGAATAGCAGTTCAAATACAATATACTTCGTCTCTTCAATTAGGTGGAACACATCTCATCATAGCCGGTGACTTCAATCTCTTTCCCAGACATGATGGTGAGTTCGAACTTGATATAAGTAAATACTATGTATATCTGACAGTTGAGTTCAAGAAGTTATATATTATTCAGTTTAGTGTGGAATTTATGTTGAAACACTGATGTGAATTATTTCCAACAGGTAGACAGAAATTCTGCGTCACGGGTTGCAACAGTTTGATGTCAACTTGAGAATTTCTTGGTGTTTTGAATGCTTGGCACATCACTATAGTTTCTGAATTGCATTTATCTTTTGTTCGTGAATCTATTTAAGGAGATTTTAACCGTGTTTACAATTGATGGATATGTTAATTAGGTCGCCACCTTTGTTACGGTGATTTGTTCAATCTCATTTGACGTGATCGTGTAGTGAAAATCAACTTAGTGGATAGTGTTTATTGAACCTGTTATCATTTGGTTGTTCCCTTTCGGATTTGAAATTGATTGCGTAACGAAGTTTCACATGTAGATTATTATCGCCTTGATTTTCATGGCCTGTCACCTACCGCGATTCTGCATTACAGATTGGCAGTTAGTGAACCGCTATCATCAGAGTATCACCCTTTATTTCAAATCAGTGTGAAGAATAAAGCAGATGAATGCATCGTCAACTTGAGAACACGGCGAATAACGACCAAGGCGATAGACTCACCGAATGATCAACAATCAGTGAGTATTCTTTTGTTGAAAAGGGTGATATTTTATGTGCTACCTTCACAGTCCCATCCTGAACTTGTTCTACAGTTTCTGTAGTCGATGGACCACTCGGAATAAATAAATCATCACATCTCTGTGGAGGAACAATAACCCTTCAAGAGTATTCACAAGAGTGAACTAGACAGATATGCATTCACTGTGTTACCGTCGCGGAAATGTGAACCACTTCTCAGAATTTGTAGACCTTTGTAGTAGAACATGGACTAGTTTACAGAGGCATTTGAGAGAACCTTAAAACAGTGAGAACTACAAGTGGGTAGCACAAACAAAATGGTATAATGACATCTATTGAATTTATCAGTAGGTGATGAAGATACCCGACTAACAACAACAAAAGCACCAATCAATATGAATAAAAGAATTCGTCTCTAACTTGTCTGGCTAGGCAGCATCGTTTCAACCACAGGCGACACGGATAGGGATGTCAAAGCCAGCCAGGACGGGGTCAAGAAACGAAAAGACATTCATTGCCAATTTCGGAGTGATGAATTTCTGCCTTGCCTTTCCGATCTTGGCTTTAACATCTTATCCTTACCGCCTGTAGTTGAAACGATGCTGCATAAATTGGTGAAGGAAGTGACCTTTTCCGAATTTATTCCGTTGCTGTTGCTGGTTGGTCATCCTCATTACCTCGGTCATCCCTTAGTTCACCTGAATTGCAGTCTTTGCTACTTCTTCTGACAACCTGTTGGTTTTCGCCTGTAAGTCTTCGAGTTTGTGTGACATTAAACATCAATCATCTGAGAAATCGAGATCTCCTAGTGTCTTCTTATCGGTGCAACCTATTCCTGACTTCTAGCTCCCCAACCCCCATCAGTCTGACGTATAATCCAGTCCACCACAGTTAGGAATGTCATCGGTGATACTAGGCAGTCTTCTCTTACTCCTGTCTCCACTCCAAAGGCTTCTATGAGTTATCCGTTGTGTAGCACTTGACATGTGGTAATCTAAATTTTCGCTTATTCTTTTTCACTTGAGATATCCATAAGATAAGTAAATAGGTAGTGTTGAGAGTTTTGAAATCTCGTTGCACTGCTAGTTATTATTTGAAAAGTAGAAGCATCTTTCGTCAATCCGAGTGTGATCAGCTTGTCTTCAACTTCACTAAGTGAAATAACTTGTGACTAAAGGTTGTTTGTCTGTTGATTTAATTCGTACAACGTTTTAGATTATCTAGAATATCAACTCGGACACCTGAATTTTCAACGAATAGACGATGGACACGAACATTGGTCTACCCTGTTATCCATACTGTTTCAGCTCCTCTTCACACGACTCCTCCATGTCACCCTTGGACGTCCCACTCGCCGCTTCCCTTTCGGGTTCCACTCGAGGGCCTGACGTGCGATGTCACCCAGCGGCCTCCTCAGCGAGTGTCCAATGCATCTCCACTTTCTCCTGCATATTTGTTGGGTGATTGGTTCTTGTTTTGTTTGTTCCCATAGTTTTTGTTGATGATTCTTCCGGCCATCTGATCTTCAGTATAGAACGAAGACAGCTGTTGATAAAGGTCTGCAACAGGCTGTTGGAAATATTCTTTGTGACCCGCCAAGTTTCTGAGTTTCAGTGGTATGAGGATATCTAAATGTGCTTACCAGAGTGCGAACTAGAGGCGTTACCATATTTCAATATGCTAATTCGTACATACTCGGAAAGTTAGTAGCGATTATAGACACTTTCAGGGTCATTTATCTATAAATCACCAAGAAGACAAATTCATTCGAAATGCTTTGAATACGTATTACGACTCATCAGAACAACCAGTGTGACAGGAGTCTTGTGCTTAGTTGTTTCTTAATCTAGTTGACTTATGTTTTCTACGTCCAGGGTGTTTTAAACCAACTGGATAAGTATTAACCCTCCTCTCATTTCTTCATCTTGTCAACAGTGTTTACGTTCATTATCTTATGGAGTAGATATATGAGAAATACAAGATCTCTTGAATAGTGAACGCGTTCCGGTTGTGCTTTATTCCTCATTCATTTTGCTGACACTGACATTTTTCTTCCTTAAAGTTGACCGTGATTTGTATGAGCACGGATTGTGGCCAGTTGTAAAAACGGTGAACAGAGAACATCTGGAAGTCGTTCCAAAGGTGGATATATTCATGTCAAGGCATATGACAACGCATGGCTTTCCGTCGATTTATCTGTGACTTCTGACTCCAGTGCTTGCTGGAGAGGTGATGTAGGTGTAATCGTAAAAGGATTGAGACATTCTTTGATATCAGAGGAAACCGATGGTGCCAACGGATTTTTCAGTGATCACGCTCACATATAGTTTGATATCCACGCACAGTGATAACAATTTGTATTTGAAGCAAATTCGTTTATTGCAAAACTTTAGAAAACGAATGTATATATATGAGTATTACGTAACAAATGACATTTATTGTAACATGATAACAATTTGTAATATATGTGAACTTGTCTGTTGCAAAACTGAGAAGAAAAGTGTGTGTATATATATGTTTACTACGTAATAAATGACATTGATTTTGTCCACCGTAAAGACTCAGTTTCTGAACTGGATACCTGTTCCCAATTAAATCAACGACTTCTTCTCCGCAAGCTGTAACTATCCTGGTTGATTTCGTGACCATGTCTTCTTGGCGTTCTCCGTATATTTTCAACCTGAAAGAATGATTTGACGATCGAACAATTAAATTAACATTATCAAAATAATGGCGACAATTCTCTGTAACGACACAAATCACTATTCCTCACATATGAACATTAAGCTAGTGCTAATAATAAAATGAGGGAAACCTAGATAAAATTAAAAGACTCAAAACACCACATAATAAAATGAGTAGTCGAAAAATATGATACTACTACTACTAGTGCTACTGCTAATTGAGAGTTAGAATGCATCTATACTATGATGTTATAACTTCGTATCCCCTAAATTTACTTCAGAGTATTTCTAATTCTTTAGTTAGGTATATGGCGAAGCTGAAGACGCCAGATATTAGATTGGTGTATTATGTTAATTTGACTGCTGTCTGTGAAGTATCTTCCAATCTTATCTCAATGATTGACAGCTAAGCATTGATGATGCAACCACCATAAAATCTAAACATGGGTTAAGCAGTGTGGTTTAGTTGTAATCAACTCGTAGGTGCATAATTCATGCAAATTTCTCTTGTAGACTGAACAAGACTCACAACTGTTCCATCGATCCGTTGACAGATAATTACTGCAATTTTGTGTTTGTACTGCGCCTAATTCTCTCTTTTGAGTGTCCTGAAAACCTTATCTTGTTCTATAAATCCAAACCTGTAGTCACTTTAGATTATTATCCACATTAGTGAGTATTAGTAACGTAAATGTAGGTGATACAAGACAAGTGAAACTTACTTGCTCAAGTGTCTGTAGCTCACTATTGTTAGGAGGATTCATAGGAGATGGACTTATCTCCACTATAGGTGTGAGTTTATATTCCTCATCGCTATCGTCTGAAGCTGTTTGATCAGCCTGTATCTTCAAATCAGGAGCTTCATACTTGACTGGTGCAAAGGAAACTCGTCTACGCTTGCTTCCTGGACCCGGTTGCTTCAGTATGCTGTTTGGTGTCGTAGCTGTTGTCCCATTCATACCCTGAAGTAAAAGTCTGAGTCACACAACAACAATTCTTACCAGACCGTCTAGTTCTAGAGAAGAGGCTGGTGATCTCGGAGTTCGAGTTACTTCCGCGAGATTTACTCCAGGTAACTGAGTACTGATGGGCGGAGAGTTTGAGTAAATCTGGTGCTGAAATTCTCGGTATTCCCTTTCAATCGCTCGGAGTTTCACCAATTCTTTATTGTTTTCAGCCAGGATTCTTTCCTGTTTCGCATCTTTTTGTTTCATCCTCCTCATCTCTCCACGTAGTCTTTCACTTTCATCATGTGACTCCTGCAATTCTTTTTCCTGAACAATGATTTCGTAGCACAAAGTAATTTACTTACTTGGTCTGCTGTTTTCGCTTTCAGCTTTTCGATTTCCTCTTCTCTCATTGCTTGTTTCTTCAGAATCTCCATCTATATTTCGGAAAAGTTTCATTGAGTGTTTAATACTTCCAGAGAGTGAGTGATTTCTTACCATGATAAACTGTGTAGTTATTGCTGATGAATTTCATAGGTAATTTTCACTCTGTTATTTCTTTTAAAATTTAGAATTATCTGTAAAACTGCACTTTGCACTAAACCTGCATGTGTGTGACTTGAATAAAATCTGTGAATAGCCACTGTATATGATTTCGGTATAAGTCAGATGTTCTTAAAAGTGAACATAGACGAAAATCGAAATCTATATTCTGAAGCCTTCAGGTATAGCAGTCATATGTCGTCGCAACATCGTGCTTACTGTCACATGATTGATTATCTATTGCGAAGAGTCATCCCTGTCGTTTCGTTATTGAGGAAACGTACACAGGCTAAGTATATTATTTCAAGTCATTCTTAGCTGTTTCCTCGATGTTTTAATATGTTTCTTAGCCATTTGATTGGGAAGATCTTTAACAAGATCAGTACGGTATTCTAGTCCATTTGTGTGAAATGCCCATGGTGATAGCTTCTGGTGGATAGTTAAACGAAGTAGTTCCCTTTTGGATATATTCTGTAACATGGTTTCATTTGGGTTTTACCTACCTGTGAAAAATGATTCTGCAATTATTTGAAACCATCTACCCGTCATCTTGACTCTGCATTATCTTATTTTTTGTCTTGTTGCCTTCTCTCTGTGATTCTGACGTTTAAGATATGGCCATCAGATTTCTATTTATGTATTGACTCTGTCGACTTTATTCATTTTGAAACATCAAACAAATACTTCTGCAATCAATATTCATACTCAGGTCTACCTTACACAAGCTGGTAGATTTCACATGTGAACAGTACATTCGTTCACCGCTTCTTGTAGACACCTGTGTCTGCGTAATGCCACCTAATTTGGCATCTATGCACTGAACTGCCCTGATACGATGTGTGAACAAGTCAGTTTCTCGAAAAGAATTACCTCTGACTGTTTGAAACAATTCAGTGTTCACTCGCCTTCACTTATAAACCTACTACATCTTGATTTACCAAAGTTGTATTTAGGTGTATCTTTAAACTAAATGCAAATGCCATTCCACACGAAGTGATGTCCGTCTCAGACACAACGAGTTCATCTCTCATAGTTGGTGATGACAAAAGTAGCTATGACTCTGTGAAATCAAATGACATAAACTCAACTTCATGTGAGTCAGTGAGTAAAGTCCGATCTGTCTTAATCCCTACCTCATCTGACTACACTCCAATCGCTCGGGGTATTTCTACTAGTTCGGTTGTCCGTTAAATCTGTTGTCTTGTTAATGGAAGTCCTCCACGGTCACAAATCTCTTCAGGCCCAATTTGTCTTCTCAAGAGTCGGATTGTGAAACGGAACAAGTATTCAATGATAATTCACCAAAGCCTCCAAATCGTTACAACCCAGATAACACCTCAGTTTGCAGTCGAATAGCTTTCTGTGCTCAAACAACCCCTACTTCCAGTGAACGTAATCCCTCATCAAATTTTGTTTGTGAATATTGTCAGAAAGAGGAGTTCTCTCGAAAAGGTTCACTTACAGAAACAGATAGTGTCAACTCATACCGAAAACAAAGCATTCCATTGTTCAGTTTGTTCGTATCAGACTGTGGAGAAAAGTCACCTGGAGACCCATTTTCGAAAACACACAGGAGAAAAGCAAGTTGCTTGTACTCTGTTCACTTACAGAGCAGCTCCGTATTCTACATTTAAGCAACATTGCCTTAGGAAACACCACAATGCGTTTCTTTGTTGCAGAAATTGCAGTATCCGCTTTGTAACTCTAACGGGACTTGAGAATCATCAAAAGATATGATTGGCTTGATTTGGTTTCTAAATAACAGTTTATGCCAGTCTGATCTGAATTAACTAAATAGACCTTCCTCCTTCATACAACAAACCGTTCTGAATTGGTTATTTTCGTGTGTGAATTCACAGTATATATCAACTCATCAAAAGGGAAAATTTCACTAGAAACTAAATCTGAGAATACCTTATTTCGATTCACTTCCTTAGTTTCTTCTCCAAGCTTGTCAATTAGGTTCAGGAGTTCATTCAATTTCTTGACCTTCGAACAAATATTGTGTTTTAATTAGAACCTACCACCTCCTTATTCCCTTCTGAGCTCTCGATGGTGTTTCGATCCATTGTTTGCCTTAGACTGTCGATATCATCCTGTTTCTGTTTCAGTTCAAGGTCTTTTTGATTTAACTTCTCCTTCAAAGACACTATCTCATTGGTCATGTCATCAGTTTGTTTCTGTAACTGATTCTTCATAGTTTCGAGTCTTTGATTTTGCTCTTGAATGGATTTCTCTCTTAACTTCTGCTGTCCGACTTCTTGTTGTGAATACTCCAGTTGCATTGTGAGATTGTTTATATTGTTAGACAACTGCATTTGTTTCAGAATATTCTCCTGTTTCTCTTGGTTGAGAACTGTCAGCTGATTTTTTAATTCTTCTTGTTGCTCTTCTCTTCCCTATAATTACATAAATACATATACGAGAATACCGTTAAATTTCACTGAGAAGAAAGAAAGCTAGTACGCAGGATGCGTATCAGTGGTAAATAGTAGTTAACCGAACAATTTTATCAACACAGAAATTGTCACAAAAATCAGTGTCACGAGTTGTGACACTTCGAGAAAGATCTCATGAAAGTAGAAAACCAAGTAGAATGAAAATGCGACAGTCAAAAGTGTACTCAAGAAGGGATAATTAGATGGAGGTTAATAAGAATCTTCAACCTCGTCTAGTTAACTAGCTCGCTAGTTTTCTAGCCGGTCCCAAACCCGGGTAAAGAGGGAGGGTTGGGTGTGTGGCTCGCAACCCCACACCACTTAATCTTTCAAACCGCTAGAGAAACTTCTACACACAGAAAATATACTAAAAATACAAAAACACCAAATAACAATAATCTCATTCTTCGCTCGTATAGGAGAGGCGAAATGACACAGCTGGCTGGTGAAAGCCAACCTTCGGGAAGCCAGTCAGCAAGCCGATGTGTCTTCCCTCGATGAAAGCAAGAGTAAGAATGGGTACGTGGAATGTCCGCACAATGTACGAGTCTGGCTAGGAATGCTGCCCAGTTAGCCAAAGAGATGCGTAGATATGGCTTAGAAGTACTGGGTGTCTGTGAAAGCAGATGGAATGGATGTGAGTCAATAATCTACTCCGGTCTGGTCACCCAGACGACAATCACGAACACACTGAGGCAATGAGTGGCTATCATGATGTCACCAGTGACAGCCAAAGCCCTAATGCAGTGGCAACCAATTTCATCCTGCAGGATCATGACAGCAAGACTCAACTTCAAAGGAAGGGAGGTAACAGTTGTCATGCAATGCTACGCACAGTGCTACAAACAACGCGGAACAAGAAAAGAAGGAGGATTTTTACAGACAACTACAAACAGTAATGGACAACATCACAAATGGTGACATCAAAATCCTGATGGACGATATGAATGCAAGGCGAAATGGGAGCAGACAATACAGGAAGAGAACTAACTCATCATGGGTCGAGAGGCTCTCACTCGGTGAAATGAATGAGACGATTTGATCATCGGAGGGGGCGTGTACAAACACAAAGGTATATACAAAGCAATATGGATTTCGTCTGACGGACATACCACAAACCAAATAGATTTCATATCAGTGCTGCTCAAGGAAGTGGAAACGCAGCCAGTCTGCTGGATACAAAGTCGAGAACGGGTGAAGATGTGGGCTCAGACCATCACCTAGTTCAAAGAACCTTCAAGATAAAGCTGAAATTCATGAAAACAAATGGAGACAGACCACTGTAATTCAAGTTCAACATTCAGAAACTGGGCTGGAGGACAAAACTACAAGGGATGCCTTCGCTCCAGATCTGATCAGAGCAAAGTCGGACACACTACGTGGCATCACTGAGGAAACCTGTGTGGAAGAACATTGCAACTAACTCTCAGAAAGCGATATTTTAGGAAACGTGTACAACTGTTTAGGAAGAAGGAAGAGACCAGCCAAGACGAGGAATGGCTCTCAACGGACACCTACCTGGAAGCTAATCGAGGAGAGGAGGATTGTGAAGAGAAGATGACCCAATGCAAAGATGGACAACAGAAGGAGAAGCTGAGTTCAGTGTACACTGCACTGAATCAAGAAAGAAGTGAAGAAGAGTGCAAGAACAAGCAAACGACAATTCTACGGCACTCTGGCTGGTGGCAACTGAAGCAGAACAGGCAGTGCGCAGGCAAAAGTGACATCAGGACACTATAATAAATAACCAAGTCTCTATCCGGGAAGAGATCAATCCAGATGATGAAGACAATGAAAGATACTCAAGGGAACCTGATTACCAAGGAGGAGAAACAAATCAAACAATGGTCTGATCACTCTAAAAGACTCTTGAATTGACCACTACCGGAAACTCGCCCAGAAGTACCGCCAGCACAAACAGCACGCACGGAACTGCAAGCCAGTGAACACCACTCCTCCAACGAAAGAAGAAATCGTGAATACGATCAAGCTACTGAACACCAGTCGGGAAGGTAGCAGGGCCAGACGGCATTCCTCTCGAAGCATTGAAGACGGCCTCAGAGATTATGGCAGGTGTTCTCACTCCACTACTGCAAAAGTTTGGAAAGAAGGAAAGGTGCCTACTGATTGGAAGAAGCCCTGGCTACCTCGTGAAACTGCCGAAGAAGGACGACTCAGGCCTCTCTGTGCAAGAACTGACTGACGTGGAATAATGTCCACGCCAAGTAAAATACTAAGTCGCATCATCCTGGAGAGAATAAAGGATGCACTGGATACAGAACTCCGCCAGCCACTGGAACAACCTGGATTCAGGAAAGGCAAATCATGTGCTAATCAAATTGCAACTCTACGCATCGTCATCATCGAACAAAGCATAGAATGGCTGTCAAACTTCTATCTACCTCATCTTCATCGATTTCAAAATGGCCTTCGACAGACAGCGTAGATCGAGAAGTAATTTGGAGACTACTTCAACACTACGGCGTACCTCAAGTATTTGTCAACCACATTCAGCAGCTAGCTATATGACAGTGCCACGTGTCAAGTGATCCACAACAGAAAATTCAGCGAGGCGTTGGAAGTGCATACAGGAGTAAGACAAAGCTGGCTGGCTGCCTATTATCACCGATAATAATCTCAATTATGGTAGACTGGATTATGCGTCAGACTGTTGGGGACGAGGAGTCAGGAATACGCTGGACCACCAATAGGAAGACTAGAAGATCTGGATTTCGCAGATGATATATTTCTAATGTCACACAAACTCGAAGACTTAGAGGCAGGCGAAAACCAACAAATTGACTGAAGAGGCAGGCAGCGAAAACAAGAGTGCAGGTGAACACAGAGAAGACGGAGGTGATGAAGATAACCAACCAACAGCAACAACAACAACCAGAACCAAATACCATCAATGGGAGAGATTTAAAAGACGTTACTTGCTTCACTTATCCGGAACGGACGAAGATGTCAAAGCCAGTCAGAATCGGAAAGGCAAGATACGCCTTCATCAACCTGAAACCAGTTTGGAAATCTCCTGCAGTCACCATAAGGAACAAGATTCGCATTTTCAACACCAGTGTGAAGTCGGTTCTTCTATTCGGGTCAGTAACTTGAACTGTGTGTCACGAAAAGGATTTCCAACAGATTGTCTCAGAATTTCATCAACAGCTGCATTCGCTCCATATTGAAGATCAAATGGTCAGAAAGAATAAGCAACAAGAAACTATGACTGGGAACAAACCAACCAGGAGTCGATCGCTCAACAAATATGTAAGAGAAAGTGGAGATGGATCGGGCATACATTGAGGACTCTACCGAATGACATCGCACGCAAGGCAGTGCCTCGAGTGGAGTCCCGTTGGAAAGAGACGAGTGGGTCGTCAGTGTGAGGGTGACATGGAGAAGGTCGTGAGAGGAAGAGATGAGAGAGTTTGGTCAATCGTGAACCCAGATGAAGAGGACGGCAGAAAACAGAACAAATTGGAGATCTGTTGTTGAAGCCCTATGTTCCACTCGGAACTCAAGGGAATAATAATAATCAGAAGAAGAATCTTCAGAATCTGAAAGATTCCAACGAGTAAATAGATATCATTGAGTTTCACAACATCCCAGTCAGGTAATCTGCATCTCCCTAGGTGTCTCAAACCAACGATCGAATACTTTGTTGACTGGTAGTGTGTTTTCGTCTAACGACACCTAAGTGTTCTCCAGCTTTGCGGTTCTTTGGATGATATTGCAAATCAAACCTGATGTCTCGGCATGAGAAACACATAGTAATAATAATGATTTATATTTCGTATAAACGAGTAGGTTCACAAGGAACGCGTGTCATTTTTACAGACACAATCGAACACAGTCGATAGGATCTCGTAACCTCTTCTCTTTAACTGAAATTCCAGCCGTAACCTCACTGTTAATAACCATTTTCCTCCACCTAACACGAAAGATTGAATGAAGGCAAGAATGGTCAAAAACCACTAATCTTGATGATCAGTCACAACGCAGCCGTAAAATAGGACGGAGCAACGTACCAAGCAGCATACACATTTCATTGGTGAGTGATCAGATCACATTGGGTGTTAAGGTAACACAGGTTAACAAGTTCCAAACTACCCTTCTCTATTCTCGCTGGGATGTCGTCAGCAGTCAGTCCGTTGGCGTCGGAGCAGTATGATAAATAAGTGAAGTGATCAAAAACTCCAGCAATATGACTCTTTATACTTAACTAAGGATTCATTGCAGTTCCGTGTCATAGTCCGTCATTTGATATGGACAAAACACATGAAAACACAGATGGACTTTCATCTCAGGTATTCAGAAGACTGGATTCTGACAAAGTCTACACCTGAAAGGACAATATCATCTGCACACTGAAGAATAACAAGGCTAACTTCGAGACATACTCTGAAAGATTGGAGTCTATCAGAGCAAGTAAGTGAAATGAGATTTAATAAAACTGGTGACCGTGGAGATCTCTAATGAGCAGTTGCACACAAAAGTGACATTACTATCGTTTCCTTCTTTTGTTTAGTCCCCATGAATACAACGTATCAAAGTGGACTTTATTGCAGTATCCCTTCCAAAACTATTTCTCCTCAACAGCTTATGTTTGCGTAAACACGTTCTGCTCCGAACATTACATTTCTAATCTGATGGATAATACCATGCACTACCACTTAGAAATGATATGATTTTCTCAAAGAATAGATGGGAGAAGCAAGCTTTATATGTTTATCGTACAAGAGAATATCAGGTTTTCTGTCAAGAATTGGTGAATAATTTTATCTACTTGACACTTGCTGTACACATGTTAACTGAAAGAGATCATTTGGCATCGACTTGCACTGTCAAATAATGCAAACATTGACAGTGTAAACATTGGATCCGATGACTACTTCATACTACAGCCTTCCAGCAGTAGTACCCAGTATCTTTGGGTATGCAGTACGAAGACAAACTCTTGCCGAGTATCTCCCAACTGAGATCACTTATGCTGTCAGTAAGACAGCCATTTGTCTGTCGAATAGAAGCTACCTAGCATAGGATTGCCATCCGTCGGTCTTTATGTGTGGAGAGTGTGTGCTGGTGATCCGAGAAGTCTCAGAGATTGCTCGTCTGTGTGACACTGCTTCTGTTTGGTGGAATCACATAACAACATGCTAACAGAATAAGCATAATTTTGAGCAAGAGACACAAGTCATATATATTGGTCAGGTTACCCTGTTCGAACTGAGTGGACATGTATTATGAATACTCAACTGGCGTACAGTATGATAGTCGGTGTTAATGAAAGTATTACACTATTTAAAGAAACAGGGATGCTTCATTTATTCTATAAAAGCAGCGATAGCTTGTGAAAGAGTCACTTTGAAATGAAGGTTATTTATCTAAAACCAATGTAAGTTCTGACAACCTCAATGATATGGCTTTCAAGTACTTAGGATGGCTTACACCTTGTGGTTGTTTCCTGGTCACCGGCGTCATGTTTCATTAAACAAGCTGTCTGAAGTAAAGACAGAATGATGAATATACAAATTTCTGCGAAAAGTTCATCTGACATTAGGAAAAAGGAATCGATATATAGATAGATAGATAATGAAGCGTACATGCAAATTGAACAAAATGCACTCGTGTCTTCTACTAGACATCCGACACGCGTTTTCGTCTGCTTGACAGGTGTAAACCAGGAGGTGTATGCAAGTCAGATTCGCGGTTTATTAATGACTGTCACTGCTTACTTTCTCCGATCACATATATGATTATAAAACTGAAATTAAGTGTAGCAATCTCGAAAATGAATTATTGATTCTATCTATAGAAAGAACGATTAAGTTTTAGTTGCTTAGAGGATCGTTTGGTCTGACAACGCCATAGAATAAGAACTGAGCTGAATAAACCTTCATCCTCTGACAATTCAGTTATTCCGTCAGGTAGTAGCAGTCCGTCATTATCACTTACAGAATATTTTAAAGTCGCCTATTTCTTTTACCCACTAGTGTGTATGCATATACAAGTAAGAAATACTAGTCACGAAAGATTATTTTCATCCACTCAGATTTCTATTTTCAGTTAATAAAGTGCCACTTCTGGTTAGTCAATCAATTTGCATCCCATTATCTGCTGATAGTAATGGTAGAAATATATCGGTGCTGTCATGCTTGTAAAAGCTTCGATTCTGGTTCACTTAGGCGAGTTTCCACCAAGCCTTAGTCTCACAACCGCATTCCATATGTGCTTAGTGCATAACCTATTTTTCTATTCAAATTTGAACGCAAATAGTTTCTTAGCACAGTCCTCAGCATAGTCTCAAGTATTCTTATGTCGGTTCACTGATTGGCACGTTTACAGCACGAATGAAGTACGTGACATTAGCAGAGTTGAATCATAACCATGTCAAACAACAGTTAAGTCTACTTAATGAATCCACCAGTATCTTTTTCTAAAGTGTTATAGATACATTCCCAAAAACCAACAAACTGGATATACCTCCCCTATATTCTACTGGCTGTATGCGCTAAGTAATCAGAGTGGCGACAATTAAACCATAAATGAAATCGTGTATATAGAAGTCTGAAAATTATTTTCAACTAATCGATGACTATCGAAAACGTCTATACATACTCACCTTGATTTCAGAATGTGCCAGGCTTAGAGCTTTCCGGTTCTCCTCATCACTCAACTTCAGTTCATTATATCTGATTTCGCAGGCCTCCAGCGTTTCTTTTAATTTTGAACAATTAGCCCTATAAGTATGTAAATCGAATTCTGAGAAATACCTCTCCTCTTCCAGTTCCTTTTTGACTTCAGACACCTTTGTTCTCATTTCCTGCACTTCCTCTTCAATCATTTTCGTTTGTCCCTGTGAGTAAAATGTGGTGAAGAGAGCTCGTTGTTACTTGTAGAAGTTTGATCAAGGCCTCTGACTTCAAAAGATTCCCATGCGCTTCAGCGTACTTCTCTTTTTCAGACGTCAGTTTCGAATGCAATTCATCGTTATCAAGCTTTCATAGCCTATGGAAAACTTTGTAATCAAAAGTTACCTGCAATTTTTCATTAAATATCTGGCACTTTTCGAGAGCTGCTCTCATGTTATCTTGCCTTTTATACCCACATTCAATGTCCTTCTCTAATTCCGTGACCTTCCTTCTCAGGATGACCTATTATTGTGTTTGTGAAATACATTAACTTCTTACCGAGTTCTCACGATCAATACTTAGAAGATGATTTTCCATCACAAGGTCAGCTGCCAAAAGGATTATATTAAATTTAAGATTACCGCATATGTTATGTATTTTCGATTCAAAATCACGCATAATCAGTGATCTAAGTATGTGACAACTTTATTCCATTCATTACCTGTTGTTCAGTATTTTCTTCAACTCAACGACTTTTCCTTTCACCATGCTTAATGTATTAAATATATCTTCATTCCTAAGATGTTGATTTTCCTGAAATATGGAAAGGCTTTTAATCATATTGCTTATTTTATCGATCATAGACTTAACGTGAAATCGTGACTTGTCCGCCTGGTCACAGAGATAATTCAGCTTTTCTTTCGAAGCATCCAACAACTGTAATCTCAACCTGCATTTGTGCTGGTGTTCATCAAGCAGACACACCAGATCTTCATGTTCTTTCTCTTTCGCTTCCGATAACTTGACAGCGTTTTGTCTCATTGCCTAAATCCTCTCGCCATATTTATTTGCATTCCTACCCTTTCGTCCTCTATAGTGTTTTCCAGACTTTTGATGAGCGATTTATACTCTTCGTTGCTATATTTCATGTTTTCTTCCATCTGTTTTAACTCAACTAGTTGTTCAATAACCTGATGCGAAATGTAACATACTTTTATCAGTATTCAGTCCATCGATCTCTCTCTGCAGTTGGATAATTTCCTCTTGATGTTTCCGATCACAGACGAGAAGTTCTTCTTCCTACAAACATCAGCTATTTGAAGTGAAACTCACTAAGCATTTGTTTTCATCGCCTAACTGAATTATTCGTTTTTGCAGTGCTTCTACATCGCGCGTTTTACTCTCAACTGAAGTGTTGTTAGATTTCAAAGAAGTTTACTTGTGTTTTCGAATTCCTTGTATTTCTCTAAACATGTCTCTGAATGTTCGAGAAACTCCTTCCTGATATTTTCGTAATTCCTCCGAAGGACGTCATATAATTCTTCTGACTGGAAAACTCTACTCTTTACTACCAAAAAATGCATTATGCATATAAATTTACCTGTCATGCTCGCCTCAGCCAACTTTTTGACTCTTTCTTCAAGTGCATTACTTTGACTCTGAATTGATGAGAACCTGCATTATATATGTCGATTCTGCATAATATTACCCCACCTTTCCAACACGTTGTCTCTTAACTCAACCTCCTCTTTATATTTCAAACTCATGTTTTCCAGATTTATCTAAACAGAAAACCATGTCAATATAACAAATACCTGGAGTTCCACATTCGCACTCCTCAGGTTTTCTACCAGTGATTCGTACGACTCCAATTCTCGACACTTTTGGAAGAAAGTATTAATCTTATTGCTTTTACCTTTCCTTCCAACTGAGACAATGTGTTACATTTCCAGCTCTCTAAATCACTCGCTTCTTTCTTAAGACGATTGTACAAACACTCAAAGCTGAGGTATGAAACAAATAGTCTGTCTTACTTGTCACTTAAACTGACAGATCCAGGCGATTTGTCGACTGCGTTGTAGTTATTGTCCTCTTTCTCACAATCATTGTCAATACGTGAGGTTTCTGCACTCGTGTAATCCGGAGACTTCCTAATTGTGCGATTCAGCAACACGTCGTCTTCGGAACTAGTGGAGACATTGTAGACATCTGGAGATTGCATGATTGACTTCTTGGACCTGTCGTTCAGGAAATCAAGCATGGGTGACGCAGGAGCATGTTTCGGCAATCGAGTATGCTCCGTTGGTGAAGGCGATCTCGTGCGTTCGAGATCAACAGGAGAGGTTATAAACTTGTTTCTTGGAGGATTTACGGGAACACTTCTCAAGTTAGGTAATTTAGGTGATGTAGATGACAGTTGGACAGGTTCATTTTTCTTAGAATTGCCATCGAATTTCATCAACTTGGTCCACTTGTCACTCCAGTTGTTCTTCGGAGTCGGTGAAGCGAAGTTATTTTTCGAAGATGAAAAGCGGTCAGCAAACAAGTCATCTTCGTCTAGGTCAAATGTCGAGCTTGTGCTATTGTCATCCGTTGTATTCCAAATCGCGACAGACGGGTGTTTGCCCATGATTCGTGGTGAATCGTTCTTCGCCAGTCCTTTTGGAGAGCTTTCTTCTTTCCGGAATGTCCGAAAATAGTTGCTTCTCATAGCTCTCGCGCGAAAAATGATCTGCGTGTTGAAAAGTGCCTAGTGTCGTTTTTGTGTGCAGCAGTTTGTTTAATGTCCAATATGGTAACGATCGAATGTCTAGGTTGCATTATATGTCATTGTTATCCTCATCAACACAACAGGTCTGTGTATCTTACAATATTTTAAGTGTTTCTCTATGGTGCTAACACTGTGCATAGTTGCTTAGAGTTGAAGCATGTTCAGCTTATATTTGATCCAATATCCAATATCGTTTTTACGAGCTAGTATAAACCAATTTGATTTCTTTGCACTCGCCTCTTGATTGTGAGGTAGAGGTTCCTGATCTTTGGTAAACGTCTGTGTAGCTCGTCCCGCCACTCGACTGTCGTAGCTTTGGTTGACTCCAACAGGAGTAGTGCTGGGATTAATTATATGGCGTCTGTAGTATGAAGTGTGTTAAGACTGTTACTACTGTGAATGGAGTTGATCCTTTCACCAGTTAGTCTTTCGGTATCGTCGTCAATGGAAAAGAGATAATAATAATAATAGATATAATTAGTAAAGGTATTCAGACTAACAGACAGAGAAAAAATAAGAAAACGTAACAACAGTCAGTCAACCGGTATACATATATATATACATATATATATATATATACATATATATATACCAGTAATAATAATAATAATAAGTGTAGTTAAAGCTGTCAGGAGAGTAAGACTGAAGGGAATGTGAAGAAGTAAAACGACCAGTTTAATTGTCTACCTTTGAATGGTATATGCGATTTTAAGGGGATAGGCCATTTGGATACAGTCCTTGTGTCGCTGCAAGGTTGTCCAGCCTTCGCTTAAAGGCGTCCACAGATGGTGCCATAGCTACATCTGCCGGTAAGGAATTCCAGGGACGGCAAACTCGCAGGGAAAAGAAGTGGGAGCGCACCCGTGTCCTTGCCCTCTGATGAGCTATCCTCCTGGGATTTCCACGAGGGAGCCTATACCTACTCAATGGCAGAAAACCTTTGTTCGGGTGATTCTGATCATTTGTTATTTTGTAGGCAGTAATTAAATCCCCCCTCAGGCGACGGTAACTGAGTGTGAATAGGCCTAATTTCTTCAGCCTTTCGTCATATGGTTTATTTCGGAGACCAACCACTCCTTTTGTTGCCCGTCGTTGGGCTCTTTCCAAGAGGTTGGCGTCTCTTTTAAGCAGTGGGGGTGCAATGATATTATGCACTTCAAGATGCGGTCTGACGTATGTTTTATACCACCTTAGAAAGAGCTCAGGAGTAAGTGCACCTAATTGTCTATGTGTAAAGTGTATGACCGCATATGCCCTCGCTACATCCCCCGTGTAATTCACGCTTGTGTCCATTTTCTCCGTTAGAACTAGACCTAAGTCACGTTCCGACGTTGAGCAGGACAAGCTTTCATTGCACAGGGTGTAACTTGCATTCTGCAGTCTACAGGTGCGTAACTTCACTACTTTGCACTTTTTCAGGTTGAAAGTCATTCCACTGGTTACCGCCCAGTCTTCCAGAAGCCTTAGATCTGCCTGCAGCCTATCTGAGTCCTCCGGACACTTTACCGCCCTCCATATCTTTACGTCATCAGCGTATAGAAGAGTCGGGCAGTTTAGACGGCATGGTAAATCATTGATAAAAATCAAGAACATCAGTGGTCCCAGGATAGAACCCTGCGACACTCCTGATGACGAGCTGTGCCAAGATGATCGGACTCGATTGACCTTGGTGCAAAATTGCCTTTCAGTTAGGTAGTCCTTCAACCATGACAGAAGTGGTTTACCTAGACCTACCTGGCTTATTTTGTGTAGGAGAAAGTCATGGCGAACAGTGTCAAATGCCTTCTCAAAGTCTAGAAAGATCACATGGACAGGAACATTCATATCCCAGCATGATGTCCAATCGTCCCAAGCTGATAATAAGTTAGTGACGCAGGATCTTCCTTTCCTGAAACCGTGTTGGGCTTCATGGAGTATTTTAGACCTATCCAGATATTCCCTGATGTGATCATCAATAATACTTTCCAGTACTTTCGATACCACTGGGAGTAGAGCTACTGGTCTATAACTAGTGGGATTTTGCCTATCCCCACCCTTGAAGATCGGAGAAAGGATGCTTCTTTTCCATTCCTTTGGCAGTTTCCCTGATTCCATGGAGTGTTGGAACAAGTCGTATAAGGGCCTACAGAGAGCGTCGGCGCACTGTTTCAGAACAGATGGCCTGATGTCATCACAACCTGGGGACTTCCCAGGTATAAGTCGCTGCAGCTTTCTCAGTACTATTGCAGGGTTTATTTGAGGGGTGGCTATTTGGTCTTCCTCCTGTGAAATAGTCATGCCACCATTTTGGTTCGTAACGGTAATACCCACATTGCTGTTTAGCTGTTTGGAGAAGGCTAAACTGAATGTTTCAGCCATCTCCAGACTAGTGAGATATTGACCGTTTTGGCCTACTAAGGCGCAAGCCCCTTGGTTGGTTGGTTTCCTTTCCGACATGAATCGGTACAAATTCTTCCGGTTTGCCAGGAGCTTTTTAGCAAGGTTAGCCTGGAATGACCTTCTGTCCCTCCTGACTCTTGCATTGCACCGGTTCCTGAGTTCCAGGTATGCATCATGGTCGATCTGGCTTCTAGATACACGCCACGTAAACCAAGCCTTCCTCTTTGCTTGCAGAATACGCTGCGTGCCTCTCTTTAACCATGATGATTTTCTTTTTGGCTGTGCTGTGACTAAAGGGACGGTATCCGAGATCGCTGTATGAATAATCTTTTTTACCGCTTACCAGTGTTCATCCACAGACAGCTCATCCCATGCTAAGGGCCAGTCTGCATTGGACAAGAGCCTCCGCATTTCAGCGTAGTCAGCCTTGCTGTAACACAGACATGGTTGCGTAGCGTCCCACTGCAAGTGCTCACGGAGAACGAGGTCGAAACCTATGACTGCATGGTCACTACTTCCTAGAGGAGTCATGACCTGGACCTTTTCGACGAGTAGTTGGTCACTAGTTAGAATGTAGTCTAGTTTTGATGACTTTCCACTAGGGCCCCACCTAGTGTCGTCTCCAACATTCTCAGTCAGTCCCGTGTCCCGAATAGCTTGCAGTAGATTTCGGCCGAATTTTCCCTTAGCATACCCCGAGCCAAGGTTCAGTGATGGGGCATTGAAATCTCCAGCAATGGTGATTTGGTCATAGCCCAAGTCTCGTATCCCTGTGATAGTGCTGAGCAGTAGCTGATTGTGCTCTGCCCAACAGGTGGGAGATCGGTAGATGCCACCAAGTAAATGCTTGGTGTGGCCTACGGTGAAATGACACCATATGGAGTCTGGGAGTTCAATAAGTGGTGGGTTCGTTGCGCGAACACATTTAAGTTGCCTATCAAAGTATATGGCAACTCCCCCTCCTTCCTTATTATCCCTGTCTCTCCTGACCAAAACCATATCACCTATACTGATTTCATTATCGGCGATAGTGGGGGTTAGCCATGTTTCGGTGAGAATGATTATTTTCAGTTGTAGGTGTGCTTGGAGATTTCGGAGTTCACCTATTTTTACTCTCAGCCCCCTCACATTGCTATACAGGCAGCTGACAGTGAGTCTTACAACCTCAGCGTGTTGTGGGGTAGTTGACGTGAAGCTGTCTGCTGGTAGGGAACTTAGTGTTGGGACTAATTGGCCAGTTCCGATGGAACCGGCCCATTGTGGTTTTTTCCCTTGGATTTAGGCAGGACACTTGGGTGGCACAGACTGTTATTCTCAGAACTGCATCGCTCGAGTGTCACTGAAGCTTGGGGACGTATTAAAGCCTCAGTTTGCTGTCTCCTTATGGTTCGAGGTCTGCTTTCGCAACATCGGATGTGTCCTCCCATTTTCCCCTTGATCTCATACCACCGTTGAAGTGTTATGGCCAACTGCTCTGGGGAGTTGAATGTGACACTAAGCAGCTTTGGGGAGCTAATCAGTGTGAGATGAGCGGGGCGAGGTAGTCGGTAAACGGAGATGGATCCAGAAGCGCCAAGGGCCATCTGAGACGACAGCCATCTCCACTGCTGTACGTCATGCATGTGTTTTTCACAGGCAGTGCCCGTTTCCAGCTCCGGGACACCGTGCACTACCATAGAGGTGGAAGGCAAAAGTTCCGGTGACTCCCTTGCCATTTGTCTGAGAGCCCATGGTCTGTCTTGTCTCACCCTTATGTTAGAGCTTCTGTCGATGGCTAGTACCTGAGCCATCAATAGTACCTTTTCGGCCTCTTCGGCAGAGTCCAGTGTAACCCGTAATGGGGGTGGCTTACCTTGAGGTGTGTGGACACCCCTGTACAGCCTGCACAATTTCACTGAACTAATATTCAGACCTAGTTTATTGCACAGGTTGGACCACTGTTCCTGATCAAACAGGGCCCGCTGTTCAAGCAAGCTGTCCTTGCTCACAGGTACGTTAAAGAGGATGAGCGAATTAGACCGATTAACCTCAGACTTAGGTTTGGCCTTTGGCTTCTCATATTCCTTTGCAGCATCAGCAACTTTAGGCTTCATCGGGTTCTGGCCAGCCTTTATTGTGTTACCAAGCTTGCTTGTGGATGCAAGTGGTGCTTCTCTATCTCTATCTTTCCTTAATGTTTTAGGTCCAACCTTGTGAATCTTCACCTCGTGAAAATTGGCATTTTCGGTCAGTAGGACTGGAGTGTCCTTCTTACTGTCTATGCCAAGTTTTGGCAATGTGATGTTAGCAGGTGGGGAGCTACATAAGACCGTGTTGGGACACAAGGGCGGCGTGAAGTTTCTGCTAACCGCAGACACGCTCTGTGTGACTACACCAGGGCGACAGAGTGGACAGATGTACCAAAACCACGGGCACGGGTTATTTCTCATAAACTCGTAGTATGATTTCGGTACCTCTTTGTCGCAACGGCAGTGCACCCACCGTTTGCAAAAATTGCATTCGAAAGCTGAGTCAGCTTTAGAAACAATGATATTGCACGCCTGGCATTCGTCTCCCTTACTTGGTGACGCCTTCGAGGTCTTATGACGTCTTGAGCGTTTCCTTTTAGGTTTGTTGTACTTCACACATTGGCTTTCAGTTGGTGCAGGTGTAGTATCCTGTCCTACTAGTATTGCCTGCGCCGTTTCAGTACTAGACTGTGGCAGTGCAGGCATAGTATCAGGACAGACGAGTCCTACACGGGTCTTTAGGATGGGTATGCGATTTGGGGTTGGTGTCCCTGCGTTTTTGCCTTCTCTGGCTGAAGCCCTTGTGACTACAGAGTAAGGTGTTTTGGTGCCATTTCTAAGGTTACTTTCTACAGCCATATTAACTATCGCTAAAACTTATGCTGTATAAGAATAAGAGTGCAACAGTATCTACCCACAAGAAAAAGAATAAGACTGAAAAAGTACAAGACAAGGAAAAGAAAAGGTTTTCGACTTTACCTAGTACTTTCTGGATGATCGGCTTCACAGAAATCACGTGGTAGACCAACAAGTCTTGTTTATCTGAACGAGTGGGGAAGACGCTGCTACAAAAATAGCACCTGAAGCTTCGTCAGTAGTTCGAGACAGCTGGACTTACCACACAGAGATTCGATATGTAAGTAATGGTTGAATTTAATTCACCGGCTAGGAAGATCAGGTTTCCCAAGCGGATAATTCACAAAATAGGTATTTTCCGGTTACAGAGGAAAAGTCACGTCGTATTCAAGGAGCGCGCTTTCATAGCCTATGGAAAACTTTGTAATCAAAAGTTACCTGCAATTTTTCATTAAATATCTGGCACTTTCCGAGAGCTGCTCTCATGTTATCTTGCCTTTTATACCCACATTCAATGTCCTTCTCTAATTCTGTGACCTTCCTTCTCAGGATGACCTATTATTGTGTTTGTGAAATACATTAACTTCTTACCGAGTTCTCACGATCAATACTTAGAAGATGATTTTCCATCACAAGGTCAGCTGTCAAAAGGATTATATTAAATTTAAGATTACCGCATATGTTATGTATTTTCGATTCAAAATCACGCATAATCAGTGATCTAAGTATGTGACAACTTTATTCCATTCATTACCTGTTGTTCAGTATTTTCTTCAACTCAACGACTTTTCCTTTCACCATGCTTAATGTATGAAATATATCTTCATTCCTAAGATGTTGATTTTCCTGAAATATGGAAAGGCTTTTAATCATATTGCTTATTTTATCGATCATAGACTTAACGTGAAATCGTGACTTGTCCGCTTGGTCACAGAGATAATTCAGCTTTTCTTTCGAAGCATCCAACAACTGTAATCTCAACCTGCATTTGTGCTGGTGTTCATCAAGCAGACACACCAGATCTTCATGTTCTTTCTCTTTCGCTTCCGATAACTTGACAGCGTTTTGTCTCATTGCCTAAATCCTCTCGCCATATTTATTTGCATTCCTACCCTTTCGTCCTCTATAGTGCTTTCTAGACTTTTGATGAGCGATTTATACTCTTCGTTGCTATATTTCATGTTTTCTTCCATCTGTTTTAACTCAACTAGTCGTTCGATAACCTGATGCGAAATGTAACATACTTTTATCAGTATTCAGTCCATCGATCTCTCTCTGCAGTTGGATAATTTCCTCTTGATGTTTGCGATCACAGACCAGAAGTTCTTCTTCCTACAAAAATCAGCGTTTTGAAGTGAAACTCACTAAGCATTTGTTTTCATCGCCTAACTGAATTATTCGTTTTTGCAGTGCTTCTACATCGCGCGTTTTACTCTCAACTGAAGTGTTGTTAGATTTCAAAGAAGTTTACTTGTGTTTTCGAATTCCTTGTATTTCTCTAAACATGTCTCTGAATGTTCGAGAAACTCCTTCCTGATATTTTCGTAATTCTTGCGAAGGACGTCATATAATTCTTCTGACTGGAAAACTCTACTCTTTACTACCAAAAAATGTATCATGCATATAAATTTACCTGTCATGCTCGCCTCAGCCAACCTTTTGACTCTTTCTTCGAGTGCATTACTTTGACTCTGAATTGATGAGAACCTGCATTATATATGTCGATTCTGCATAATATTACCCCACCTTTCCAACACGTTGTCTCTTAACTCAACCTCCTCTTTATATTTCAAACTCATGTTTTCCAGATTTATCTAAACAGAAAACCATGTCAATATAACAAATACCTGGAGTTCCACATTCGCACTCCTCAGATTTTCTACCAGTGATTCGTACGACTCCAGTTCTCGACACTTTTGGAAGAAAGTATTAATCTTATTGCTTTTACCTTTCCTTCCAACTGAGACAATGTGTTACATTTCCAGCTCTCTAAATCACTCGCTTCTTTCTTAAGACGATTGTACAAACACTCAAAGCTGAGGTATGAAACAAATAGTCTGTCTTACTTGTCACTTAAACTGACAGATCCAGGCGATTTGTCGACTGCGTTGTAGTTATTGTCCTCTTTCTCACAATCATTGTCAATACGTGAGGTTTCTGCACTCGTGTAATCCGGAGACTTCCTAATTGTGCGATTCAGCAACACGTCGTCTTCGGAACTAGTGGAGACATTGTAGACATCTGGAGATTGCATGATTGACTTCTTGGACCTGTCGTTCAGGAAATCAAGCATGGGTGACGCAGGAGCATGTTTCGGCAATCGAGTATGCTCCGTTGGTGAAGGCGATCTCGTGCGTTCGAGATCAACGGGAGAGGTTATAAACTTGTTTCTTGGAGGATTTACGGGAACACTTCTCAAGTTAGGTAATTTAGGTGATGTAGATGACAGTTGGACAGGTTCATTTTTCTTAGAATTGCCATCGAATTTCATCAACTTGGTCCACTTGTCACTCCAGTTGTTCTTCGGAGTCGGTGAAGCGAAGTTATTTTTCGAAGATGAAAAGCGGTCAGCAAACAAGTCATCTTCGTCTAGGTCAAATGTCGAGCTTGTGCTATTGTCATCCGTTGTATTCCAAATCGCGACAGACGGGTGTTTGCCCATGATTCGTGGTGAATCGTTCTTCGCCAGTCCTTTTGGAGAGCTTTCTTCTTTCCGGAATGTCCGAAAATAGTTGCTTCTCATAGCTCTCGCGCGAAAAATGATCTGCGTGTTGAAAAGTGCCTAGTGTCGTTTTCGTGTGCAGCAGTTTGTTTAATGTCCAATATGGTAACGATCGAATGTCTAGGTTGCATTATATGTCATTGTTATCCTCATCAACACAACAGGTCTGTGTATCTTACAATATTTTAAGTGTTTCTCTATGGTGCTAACACTGTGCATAGTTGCTTAGAGTTGAAGCATGTTCAGCTTATATTTGATGGCTATAGATTCCTTAATATGAGAATGTAATTTCTGTAGGATTCATAAAACTATGCTCATTAGACATTACTGAGATTATGGATCAATTTCTAAGTTACACATTTGCAATACTTCATTTAATGTAAACGTATTCAGTGTAAAGTTGATGTGCAACTAAGGTTAATGAGAGTATGACGCCTCAACAGTATGGAAGCTTCAAAGATTGTCTTGATATTTGCGTGTAATCCTTTAATACCGGAAAACATTTGAGGTCTATTGATGCTTATAGTGCCAATATAAAAACCAGCTGAAAACTACATATACATTTATTTGCATGAGATATTACTTAGTATTAACAGAATCAATGTATTCAGTGTGTGCTAATATGTAGAATTATCTTTCATAAATTCATGTTGTGCTAGTCCTTACATGTGCTTTATTTTTTGGAGGTATACGGAAGTTGTCGAATATGAAACCAGCGGAAATATCATCCGGACAAACTAACGTTAATACTCTTCATCGGGATTTTCTTTTGTAAATTAATGAAATGTTTAATATACTCTTCAACTCTACTTCCTCTAGACTTTTTCAGTGCGTCGCTATACTATGTGCTTTTGTAATAAGTGAATTCGGATCAATGCATGTTAAGCTTAGTTAGAGGGATGGAGATTTACTATAGTATTATGAGACTGTTACTTTAGCCTTTCGTAAGATTTCGTGTCTGTTTCTATGCAGTAGCACATTGTAAAAACTAAGTAATATTTAGCAATTTAAATAATAATTCTGTACCGTTCGATACGCTAAAATCGCCCTATCTAGCCAGTTGCAATTCTGTACACTGTTAAACGCCAAGTATGAAGGACAAGTAAATTTGATGACTTAGGCTTGACAGCTACTTCACTAATCTGTTAATATGCAGTGACATCGTCAAATTGACAGATATCCTCTCACATATTTAATGAATCTTTTTCTAGAAATGTCGTGCCAGCCGTTTGGAAGGACTTTAAAATTGTACCTGTACCTAAGTCGTCTAATGGAACATGTTTTAAATTTAGACCTATTGCTATTACCTCCCCCTTTTCTAAAAGCTATGGAAAAGTTACTCTTACTTAATCTTCAACCTTCACTTAAAGCCTTTAACGATCTCAAATGATTCGCCTATAAACACAGTAGAAGTAATTTAGATGCAGCTGCAGTCTTGCATCACAACATTTTCTCCATTATAGTCGTCCACTACCAATTGTATTTTTGTTTGACGAACTTAATGTACATACGCATACGAAATGAAGTATGTCAAGTGCGCGGACTAACTATTCCGGTGTCTTTTAATTCGCATCTACACTGTACTAAGATGAACAGCTCTCTATTAGTAGTCAGAAAATACTTTTAAACTAAATCCTTCCAAATGGCAGACTGTCAATTTCAGTTTCCGATGTAAGAGAAATTTAGGTGAAGCTGTTAATTCCTATGACCGTTGCAAAATTGATGACAGTGATATAGAGCTCAAGTCTGACTTTAAGTATCTCGGACTAATTCATCAAACAGCGTATTAGCCTTAAATGTATATCACACGCATGCATGAGCTAGGTATGCAAACCAAGGTAAATGCTGATATAAGTATAAAACTTGGGCACTGTGGTAGAGTATAACTCCATTATGGATAAGATTTTATTTTGATAAATCAGACAGTGTTGTACAGTTATATTAACTGATGACGTTTCGAGCACAAACGCTAGCACGTTACACTCATTATTTAAAAAATTAACTCATATGTGAGAACTACGATTTGACCGGCTTTACAACGTTTAATATATTTAGACACAGTAGACATACACTGCTTACTTCTATGACGCATTACCTAAAGCTACCCCCTTGCTACTACCTGAGTGAGCAACTCAATGTTATCTTTGAATTACAAAGTAAAAGCGGACATCCTGAGAGCTTTCTGGGTAAAAAGATCGTCTCGTAGTCAAGGAAATAAACATATCCTAATCTCTTCACGAAAGCGTTTAGAGGTATTTATCCTATCGCCTCAAATGACTCACTATTTGCTGTCATTTAAAAAGTAAAAGTAAATTTATCGAAGGCAGTGTGCTTATGGTTTCTAGATATCATAATGCACGATGAGGAAAGAGCTTTATTCATAGGGTTATAGCAATTAGATGCGCGATATCAATCCGAAACTCAACGACTACGATTCTCAATCACAAAACATTTTACTTTGCTACCTAATCGTCTCAATAGATGCTTCGCCAAGAAAAAGAAGACCACTGGTTCAAGGAAAATTTATTTAAAGTTTTCTTATATATCATGGGCAACCGTGTTTATAACCACGGAGAAATCACAAGCATCCGAAAAATAGGAATTTCATTATTTGAACTGAAACAATCAATTTGTAACCAGCCAGTTTTTTCACCCCGAATAATTATCACCTTCTCAGACGGTTGTAAATTAGAAAAAACCACCGATTGTAGACCAAAATCCGAAACGTTATTCGTCCTAGTTAAATTCTTACCGATTACTCACCAGATCATCTTACGTTATCCGCTTTTCAAATCCTTTTGAAACAAATAAAATGGTTGTTAACACCGGGTTTACTACAGGCAGTCCTAGTTCGTGCGTTTGGATCTAGTACACTAGGCATTAACAATCATTTAGGGATTTCCTATTGCTTCCTAATTTTGCTTCCAAAAGTACATAAAAACACCACACATTCATGCTTCACATTTGGCTCATCCTTTCTTGATTTTGATTCTCTCACAATATACCTGATTTTTTAGCTGATAACAGACACCTTGTCGAAAAGCTCCAAAGCTTTTTAAACTTCAAACCAGGTTCTAAATTCTCTGGGTTTAATTAGTTCTTCGAAAACTTTGCTAATATCAACCCTGATGGTGCTCTCTTCACCGGATTCATTCGTTGATTGTTGCATGCTGTAAACATGAACGTGAGAGACATTTTTTCCAGATTCCTACATATTAAGTAACCAGCTGAGCCAGCAGCAATAACGGCAACCAAAAATGAACTGGAAACAATGGCTTCTGCTTCCCAAACATGTTCACGTGCATAATCTCCAAGATTTCTACACAGTACTAATTAATTAATAGCTGAAAAACAATTAAAACACTGAAACCATACATGAATGCAACGTATGAAACAACTACAATGAAACGAATGCACTGGCCTGGTGGTAAAATCTTTCGAAACAAACGAAATAACTAATTTTAACAGAAACGGTAACAATAATGAAGTGAAACGCAACATTTGTAAACAATGTGCATCAAGATAAGTTGTGAATAACGGATAACGAATAAACGGAAAAACCAATATGTAAACGAACAGCTACGGAACTGCAATCCAACATGGCCGACTAACATGGACGAAAATGACCTTTGAGCGTCTCACTCCATAAATGACCTTGTACGTGACGTTTAATTTCTGCCAGTCTTGATCTGTACTTGAGTGGTGACGCTGCTGCAATTGTCATTTCACTTGACAATTGTCTAGTGATTTTGAAACAGTCTACAGTTTGAGATATTGAAAGGTAAAGAAGGAAATAGAGAGAATGCATTACGAGTAAGTAGAGCAGTAGCAAACAGATGATGTAAGTTGAATGACTTAAGATGTAACAGGCCAGGAATAAATTGAAAACATTGTAGTAAAAGGAAGGTGTTAGTATATCTTCCAAGTATGGGACTCCTAAATATAAAAGAAATACCTGGCACTCTGTTGCTTTTCAGTGGTCAACCTCGTCTAAGGTTCAACACTTACGTTGGAATTCAAAAGGAGTCAATTTATATGAGCTAAGTAGTCGAGTGTGATCCCTGTTTAAAATATTATTATGCAAACCATCTTTCCTACTTGTGGCCATCACTTTCCACAGGCCAATCAACCTAAATATATGAGATGCATGCTGTCTAAAGGTGAAACACTGATCATGTCTACATGGAATCTGTCGAAAGGAGATTTACCCTTATGGTGGCACAAGAACGTTTACCTGAGAAAAGCGGTATCTGCTCTTAGATCAGCACATGTAGTAGGATAAACTATGCGATTGTTTGAACAACGAAGAATAGCCTCGCATTTATTGCATCCTTGGATTGAATTGTGACCGTTTATTTGCTTTATTGGTGCCCTTGCTGGTGCGCCGCAGATGACGCCCTTAAGTAGAATGTCAATGCGATGGCTGTTGGATAATCTGATACCATTTGCACAAATGCATTCTAATTCGATAATAGTGTCATTCAAAAAAGTGTGTACACTTAAAGGTTTACATGAACCACAGTAGACATCTACCAAGAATACCTTGTCACAGCCAGTCAAAAGCAACTTCCCTTGTCCAATCGGAAAATATTCCCTTACCAACGGTGGAGATGCTATGCTATTACAACGCACGCCAATTGGAACGGCAATGTTTTGGGGAGTACACATGTCTCCTGGAGTTATATCTTGCACTGGTTCTGTTTCACTGGATTTCGCATGTGGTTCTAAGTTTATGAAAGTATACGTTATTATTATTAATAATATAAAACAACAAGCTTGCCTTCTAAATGCTTCTTCCACTTCGGACTGTATTTTTTTGAGACATCAACAGAACGTTGACTTAGGTCGCCTTAATAATAATAATGTATATTTTCATAAAAACATAAATTTACATGAAAATGCATGCCATTTTTACAGGCACGATCAAGTATGATATTATCTCAAATCGTAGATTGTCTACAAGCTAATAATGTTTGAACAGCTAAATATTTGATATATATATAAATACACCCATTGTCTGAACCAGGCCGTATGACTATTGAACTGTTCAGTAGTCCTCCAGGTTGCGCGAGAAAATCGACTTCG